AAATTATTTTCATTGCTACTTCATAACTGTAATTTTGCTACTGTTATGAATCATAATGTAAATATCAGATATGCAGGAGATGGTCTTAGGTGACCTGTGAAAGGGTCGTTCAACCCCCAAAGGGGTTGGGACCCACAGGTTGAGAACCGCTGCTCTAGCTAATCCCAGTAAGAGTTATATTTAATTCATTTTTCATAACTATATAACAAGTTGCTATAAGATCATTAATGTACCAAGTTAAAGAACATTATGATTCCAAATTCTATTCATATTTAAAAATTTAAACTAATAACCTATTAATATATTAGCATACAAATAAATTAAGATAAATTATAATTCACCATTCAGCAGTTCAATGAGTGCAGGGATTATCCCAGACTTGGCTAGCAATGCAGCACAAGAGTCATCCATAGACACAGTTCCAATCATTATCACTACTTCCAAAACGAGGTCATCTTCTGCAGTACCTGATAAAGTCAGATCACAGAACATTTTCATTCACAGAAAAAATAAAAGATACTGAAAGCTAAATCAATTCTTATGAATCCTTAAGATGGTTATATATCTGTCTTTTTCCAAATTTCCATGTTTACTGATGATAATTTGTGGTGGGAGGGGAGGGCAGCAGAGACACAGAAATTACTCTTTGGAAATAAAAGTGAATGACAATTTAAACACAGAAAGTAGAAGACTCACTTGAATGCTCTGAAGAACTTTGTGTGTGTGTATGTACGTGGTTTGCAGAAAGGAATGGCATTTGGTCATTTCAAAAAGGCAGGATTCAAAAAATAAGAAAGAAGGAAGAATGGGAACAGGAAAATAATATTTATTATTAAGAAAAAAGAATACATACATATAAGAGTGACCACCTTACTGGGAAAAAGAAACTAGAACTTGAGCCGGCTGGCTTGGCTCTGTGATTTAGCACCAACTATGAACCAGGAGGGCACAGTTCGATTCTGGTCAGGGCACATGCCTGGGTTGCGGGATTGATCCCCAGTGTGGGGCGTGCAGGAGGCAGCCGATCAATGATTCTCCTTCATAATTAATGTTTTATCTCTCTCATTCTCTCCTTTCCTCTCTGTAATCAATAAAATATTTTAAAAAAAGAAAAAAAAGAAACTAGAACTTGAGGTATGGGAGAAAATTTGTCACTATAATAATGGTCACAAAATAATGCTCTAGCAGCCTTATCCACAACATAAAGAAATAACTTTACGGTAAGACTAAAGTGAGATGATCAGCAGAGACCTGGTTTTAGTTTATCCTTGAGGTATGGAACCAGCTTGTACTCCTTCAGCACCAATTCCCAGTCTAAGTCTGGAATGGTCAAGTTTGCAAGTGTTCCCAAACACTCAATCACAAACTCCTCCTCTTCATCATTAGAGATCTGGGCTGCAAGATCCCCAACATAATCCTGTAGAAAATATAATTTTAATACAAATATAAAATAATTTCTGCAGAAGAACCACTCTAATAATTCAACCCTTTGGGAAGAAAAATAAGTATCAAATGTGATTCCCTTGTTTTAATAATTTTGAGCTGAATTACTAGGAGAGCCTATGGTGAACTGGTTTAAGGCAAGAAAACTGGAGTGAGGACGGAAGGGTTAGGGGTAGGGATCATAAAACAAAAACATCATAAAAACCTAGGTTTAAATTTCTAGGAGTTATTCTTACAAAGAAGTTGTTGATAGAAAGCCAACTTGGGCCATGAGTTAATATTTGATGAGAGCTCAGTAAAAGTTATATTTCCAAATGGATCATTTTAAAGCTTCAATTCGCAGGCCATTACAATAGGTCAAAAGTTATACTTACAATAAATAAGTTTTTAGTTGGTCCATCGTGCTGAGAAATGTTCCTAATCATTTTCATTAGTAGTGGGTCCTTGAATTTCAGAGCCCTCTTCATGAGCATCTTTAGCCCATTTCCTGGTACAGAAACACCAAAGATTCCCCAGTAAAAATAAGGTATACTAAGTTAAATCAATTTTTTTTTGCTTATAGTTCACAAAAATTCCATAATTTATATGCAGTAATGTGCATAAAACTTAAGTGTCCAGTAGATTTTGGTGGTGGTGGTGGGGTTAAACTACACCTGAGGATATTTTTCCATTGACTTTTAGAAGGAATGGAAGAGAGAGAGAGAGTGGGTGAGACAGAGAGAAAGAGGAACATCAGTGTGAGAGAGACACACATCAATTGGTTGCCTCCTGCACGTATCTGATTGGGTTTGGGAATTAAGCCTGCAAGCCAGGTACATGCCCTTTACTGGGAATCGAGCTTATGTCCCTTCATGTTCAGGCCAACGCTCTAACCACTTAGCATACTGGCCATAGAATATTTATATTTGCTCCAGAATCCCCTATGCCCAGCCAATATTATTCCCCAAATTCAATCACTTTTCTTCTCCTCTTCTATTCCTTCTCTTTCTTATTAAACATAGATTAGTTTTGCTTATTCTAGAATTTTCATAAATGTAATCAGAGTATGGGCTCTTTTGTGTATAAAATATGGGCCACACATTTTAAAAATGTACATGCTAGTTGACCTAGAAAAACTACTTCTAGGAATTCATCCTAACAATATAAAAATGAAAATGTGGAAAACCTCAGAAAAGGGAAAATCACTTCATTGTTGTTTGTCACAGAAAAGAAGTGGTAGCAAATTAAACAACCAAATTAGCAGATTAAACTATGGAAAATAGTTTAATGGATTATTTTGTAGCTATTGGTAAGTATGTTTTATAAAAGTATTTAACCACATGGATTGATATTTCATATATTATTAACTTAAAGACTATCACCATACATAGAGAAGAACCCCATTTTAATTTAAAAATATATAGAAGCAGTCCAGCTGGCATGGCTGAGTGGTTGAGCATAGACCTATAAACCAGAAGGTCACGGCTTGATTTCCGGTCAGGGCATATGCCCAGGTTGTAGGCTCGATCCCCAGTGTGAGACGTGCAGGAGGCGGCCAATTGATGATTCTCTCATCATTAATATTTCTCTCTCTCTGCTTCTGCCTTTCTCTTTGAAATCAATAAAAATATACAAAAAATTAAAAATATATAGAAGCATTGCATCAAAATTTTACCTATGATTACCTCTAAATAGGGAGAGTAAACACTTAATTTTTTCCTATTTGCTTATTTGTATTTTTTGTAACAAACATGTATACTTTTCAAATAAGAAAAAAACTATCAAGGGGACTCTGCAATATCATAATGCATGACAAGCAATTTTGCAAAGATACTATAGAAGCAAATACCTAACACTTTTGTATTATACTATCTTACACTGCAATGAATTACTCTGAAAATTAAAAGTTTTTTTTTCATATAGAAAGTATTTTTAAAAATCAAATTTCAATTAAGGGTAACTGACCTTATTACTGAAGGGTGTTTCTACTCATGATATTAGAATATTCTGAGTCTATCTGACCTTTTAGGGTTATAGCTATACTTTTACTTCCTTATTACCTATTTTCTATCATATGCCAATTGCCATATGATAGAGGTTATCTATGAAGCTCAAAGGCACTAACCTTCACAGATAAGCTGTACATTCCTTTTATTAGCAGCAAGATTAATGCAGAAAGAAATCAGTTCCAAGTCAATTCGTTCATCTGAACATTCAAAGAGCATCTTCATTAACTATTAAGAAGCACAGGGAATATTTTTACTCAAAAAGATACAAAAAAACCCCGAATCACCATTTTTATCACAATGTGTTAACTTAGATTGCATGTTGGAAATAATATAACACAATTACATTTTCAGTACATAGCTGTGGCACACTGACCATTGAATAACTAAATGAATAAATGGTTAATGAACAACTGCATTAAATGTAAACTTCCAAGGAAAGTGGAGGATACAGAAGAAATATTAAATAAAGCCTATGCATTTAAGGAATTTAAAATTGTGCAGACAGAGAGCATTCTGGGCAAAGAAAACACCCTGGCCAAATTTACAAGACAGGAAAGAACATGATTCCACTGAAGAACTAAAAGAAGATAAAACGTGGTCGGAGTGAGGGAAACAGTGTTGAGAGATAAGATGGTAAAAGCCAGATCACAGGGTCTTGAAGTACATGTTAAGGATTTAGGGCTTCTAAAGATAATGGAAAGCCATGAAAAGATTCTAAATAAGGAAAGTGTCAGGATAAGATCCGGGTTTTAAAAATATCTGGCCAATGTAGAAAATAGACTGAAACAGGGTAAGAAAACCACAGGAAAATCAGCTAGAAGGCGAGAGGAAACATGCAGGTAGATGATGGCTTCTTGGACTAGGGAGAGTACTGGAGACAGAGGTAAAAGGAACGCTAGATCTATATTTAGGAAAAAGAGTCAAAATGGGATTGAATAACTGACTAGATGTTGGGATTGGAGAGGAAGGGTCAAAGATGCCTCCTGGTTTCTGCATCAACATGGATGGTGGTGCCAACATTCACCAAAAAAGAGAAACTAAAGTAGGCACGTTGAAGGGAAGATAGTAATTTTGGTTTTAGATATGTTGAGTTTAAGCAGCCTATTTAAGAGTCTAGTACAGCTATTCAATGACGATAATAAAGGCAAGCCTGAATTTAGAAGAAATGTTTGGACTGGAGGTATAATTATAGGAACTGCCACATCTATATATAAAAGCCTAATATGCAAATTGTCCCCTCGGGAGTTTGACCAGAAGTTTGATTGCTCACTATGATGGGTGCTGACCACCAGGGGGTGGCGCGAAATGAAGGAAGGCCCGGGCTGGCAGCCAGCAGCTGGGGAAGGAAGGTGCTGGCCGGCAGCCAGAAGGCTCCAATCAGCCTTGATCGCTGGCCAGACCTTGGAACCCTACCTGTGCACGAATTTCGTGCACTGGGCCTCTAGTATTCTTGATAACTGAAGCTACAGGGGATCCAACTATTTGGGCATGGGTATAAAATAAGAAAAGAATTCTACTTAAGGTTAAGAAAAAAGGGAGAGGGTCAGAGAAGCAGCAGACAGAAAAGTAGAAAGGAAAAGGTAGGCTACCTATGCCATTCAACAGTAATCTAGATTTTTCATAAGAGATAGAGGCTATCATAAAGGAGAAATGAACAAACTTTGTGCTATAGTTTTGAAAAGCTAGTCTTCTATTATTAGTAAATCAGAAAATTAAGTTAGTGTATATTATCTATATACTAGAGGCCCGGTGCATGGAATTTGTACACTCAAGGCAGTCCCTCAGCCTGGCCTGCGCCCTCTCACAGTCCAGGAGCTCTCTGCCAGCTTAAAACAAATGGGGGAGCGGGCCTATGCCAGCAGTCGGACATCCTTAGCATTGTGCTCCCCAGCCCTGAGCCCAGCTGGCGCCAGGAGCGGATGCAAGCAGTGTTTCCCTGTGGGAGCACACTGACCACCAGGGGGCAGCTCCTGCATTGGTTGTCTGATCGCTGGTGGTGAGTGCACATCCCAGTGAGCAGTTGAGCGGCCTTAGCATATCATTAGCATATTATGCTTTGACTGGTTGAATAGCCAACTGGACAACTGGGCATTTAGCATATTAGGCTTTTATTATCCTACTAGAAGCCCGTTGCACGAAGATTCGTGCAATAGGCCTTCCTTCCCCTGGCTGCTGGCACCGGTTTTCCTCCGGTATCTGGGAACCAGGCCTTTGGTCTGGCCGCAGGGA